TATTAATTTAAATCCATGGTCTTTTGTTTTGTAATATCAAACTAACTAATAAATGAGAGTTTTATAATGTATATTCAATATATGTAGTATATTTTGCATTGCAGAGGTCATTGAAAATCATTTTCTGTACATTTTAGCCTTTGCAACAGCTGCTGCCCAGGCATAAAACTAAGAGGAAACATGAATGTGTCCAGTAATGGACAAATCTCTATAGTCACCATGGTTCATGTGGTCTGCATCTTGTCTCTTGATACAGTAGCTCAAATTTTTGTAGCTACTTCAGATGAGGATGCAGCATTTATACAACATATAAATGATCTGTGGTTTAGGCAGCAGCATAAGTAATGCATTATAATAATAAGCTATTCTTTCCTGGCTTGAACATAGTTGAAACAGGTTGACTCAAAGCCATTCTTTATTAGGAATATTATGAGAGAATTTTGAATGAGAGTGTGGCTTTGGTAACAAGTGTCAGATGTGTTAATCTATACTTTAAAAAGTATAAAGGTATCTGTTGGCTAAACAACTAAACAAAAATCACAATTTCATACAAGAGTCACCTGTAAAATTAAGCTTTTATCTAAAAGGTTAAACCGTTAAAGGTGTATTTTCATACATTTTAGGTAGGGTCAAGTAGTCACCCGTCTTTAAAGGGTCATATGATGTTGCTAAAAATAACATTATTTTGTGCATTTGGTGTAATGCAATGTGTTTCTGTGGTTTAAGGTTCAAAAAATATTTTCCACATACTGTACATTATTGTTTCTCCTCTATGCCCCACCTTTCTGAAACACGTCGATTTTTACAAAGCTCATCGGTCTGAAAAGCGAGGGTGTGCTGTGATTGGCCAGATATCCAGTGCATTGTGATTGGCTGAATACCTCAAGCGTGTGACGGATGTGTTACGTCCCTTACCTTATTGTGATGATGCCCTGTCAGGCCGGAGCGACAAGACCAAAACAATAAATTACAATTACAAACGAGACATTTGTTGCATCCAGTGGGGACATAATTACTGATTATAATGACTTTTTACGTGTTGCATCGCGCCACGTAAACATAAAACCATGTCTGCATCTGTGATTGGAGAAATGACAAACAAGCGCTACTCTACACTGCTCAAAACTCACGTTTGAATCATCAGTGGCTAATTCTTTAAATATGAAAACACAGTTTCTGTCACTAAAACAAATTCCTCGTATGTGTAAACATACCTGGCAATAAAGCTCATTCTGATTCTGATACTTACAGTCTGTGAGTCAGAACAGCCGGCATTGTAGTCTACTCTCACAGGATCAGAAAACAGTCCTCCATAAAATGCGCTGCACACATCTGAATATTTGGTTTGAAGTGTTCTGGAACAGTGTTGTAAATACAACTTAACCACTGATTTCTAGTCGTGTCCTCTTTTGGAAGGCCAAACAAAGTAGTTTCGCTTTCGCAACGAAACACAGCATATCCACAACATGGCGGCGACGGAAACAATACTACAGCGAGAATAAAAGTTACGCCTTCTTTCTTTGCGTGAACATTTGGGCGGTGTTATGCAAATCTTCCCACACAGTGACATAGACGTGGGGGCGTGGATGAGTCTAAACTTTTAAATAGAATATCTCTTTGGTTTTGAGACTTTAGTCTTTTCAGCTTTAGGGATCTTATCTATTCACAAACAGCTTGTAACACTCCAAAGAGAAAGGAAAACTTGAAATCGCATCATATGACCCCTTTAAAAATTTTGTAGGCCTAAACTATTATCTTGCACTGGTTTAAGTGTTATATACAATATGACCGATAGAGGGCGTCAATGGTCGGTTGGACATGAGGCTTATCAGAGCTCCCAGACAAGTTGCATCTTCTGCCTGTTTATCAAGCACATAAATTTACTCGAACGTTTTCCACTATTGAACATTTTTCACCCTTTCAATTCTTGTTTTTTCACTCTTATGTCCACATGCTTTAAAATATATGACAAGGAGAGGCTATAAATAAAGATAACTTTGCGTCTCACCAATGATATGCATATTTTAATCATTTTGGTAAGAGCATGAATATGAAAAAGTTAATAAAGTTAATTTTTACAGTGATTTGACATAGCACCCAGCAAACGCACAGCGTCCCATTAATGGTCCCATATGGTTGCTCCAAATATGGTTATTTTTGGAGGAACCTGAAACATTCAACGTTCTCTGTATGCTGTGCTGGGCAGTAAGTAACTGATTACATGTAATCTGGATTATGTAATCAGATTTAAAAATTCAGTTCTTGTAATTAGATTCAATTACATTTGAAAATACTCGTAATCAGACCACAATTACTTTAAGGATCTTATCTATTCACGAACAGCTCCAAAGAGAAAGGAAAACTTGAAATCGCATCATATGACCCCTTTAAAATGCTAGAGATGTATTAAAGGGTTAGTTCACCCAAAAACGGAAGCAGTTCCGGGGGAATGACGTATGAGGTTGGCTTTGCGCATGCGCCGCTCAGAAGTGATGCACGCGGAGAGATCGAAACAAAACAACGGTCACTAATTAGAAGTACAAAATGAGGATTTGTAAAGAAGAATGTCGGAGGATTTCGATATAAACTAAGAGGAGACTTGTTTTCCTTTGCTAAAGTAAGGAAACTTTGCTCCTTTTGATCCTGTAAACAAACGTTGGTTTTCACGAGACGCACCAGCACATGCGCAACGCTGACCTCATACGTCATCCTCCCGGAACTGCTTCTGTGTACAACTGCTGGCACAAGCTACATTAAAGTGATTACTACGTTTTGAATATGGATATTTTTCTTACAAAAACGCATCGATTCGCTACAGGAGGCCTTTGTTCACCCCCCAGAGCCGTGTGAGAGACTTTTTTTTTTTTAATGGAAAGGTGCTTTTTATTTCACGTCTTTTGGACTGAAGCGATGCAACACCCGCTGAGTGCAACAATAGAGCTTGAAAGATCAAAGACCATTTTTAATATAACTCTGACTGGATTCGTCTGAAAGAAGAAAGTCATATACACCTAGGATGCATCGGGGATGAGTAAAACACAGCCTAATTTTCATTTTTGGGTGAACTAACCCTTTAATTACAATTTTTGTAGGCCTAAACTATTGTTATCTTGCACTGGTTTAAGTGCTATTTAAAATATGACCGATAGAGGGCGTCAATGGTCGGTTGGACATGAGGCTTATCAGAGCCCCCAATAATAAATATAATTTATATTTATTATTATATTATTCCCACAAATTATTCATAATTTGATTCTCCCTAATTCTTCTTTTTCATCTTTTAAATGTTCCGTTTTAAAATAGACTACCGCTTATATACAGTCAGAAAGTCTTCCAGTTTTGTGGACGTTCACATAAAGACCAGTCACTAGTCAGGTGGCTTTAATTACACACAAAATTGAGAGGCCACACAGTATTTGACCACTGGATTTACATGAATCCTTTCTCAACATTTTAACATTGCGTGTTTATTTGAATTATCACTCAATGGGTTAATTATGTCTTTAGAAGGCTTTTGTGTTACTAACCCATTAAAATGCACAAATTCAGGCTATTTCTTATTTACATGCAGGGATTCCCAAATATATATATATATCTTTTTTTTTTTATCTGAACCTCTTTCAGCTTTATTTATTTATTTGAAATCCCCCCTTATGTTTTAAGGTAATATGTTAATAATTAACACATTTGCATATTTACAGTTCTCTGTTGGTGAATGGTCACATGACATGCAGGCGTACAAAATATTTCATTTTTTAAGCAAGTGTTTTATTTTGATCGTCATTTTAGAATAATTGATTTTAATTTGACATTTTTATGATTTATTTAAATCTAAGCTGTTTATTAAACTCACGAATCCTTGCAGTTCCTTTACAAACCCCAGTTTAGGAAACCTTGACGTAATGTAATGTTTAATTGCACGTTCACTTCATGATGTTAATAACAACGAATGGAATATTTTCCTTCTCTTTGTATTTTTACAACAGTATGGTTCAAGATGATCCTATTAAAATCAATGTGATAAACGAGTTAAGTCAAAAGTGATGTGACATGTGGCCAAGTATGGTGACCTGTAGTCTGAATTAGTGCTCTGCATTTATCCCATCCAAAGTGCACACACACAGCAGTGAACACACACACACACACACACACACCCGGAGCAGTGGGCAGCCATTTTTTGCTGCGGCGCCCGGGGAGCAGTTGGGGGTCCGGTGCCTTGCTCAAGGGCACCTCAGTCGTGGTATTGAAGGTGGGAGAGAGCGCTGTACATTCACTCCCCCCACCTACAATCCCTGCCGGTACGAGACTCAAACCTACAACCTTTGGGTTACGAGTCCGACTCTCTAACCAGGCCACGATTTCCCCAAAAGTAATCAAAAAGTAGTCCCGATTATATCAAATGTGTAATGTAACGGATTACATGACTAACTACAATTTTGTCATGTAATTTGGAATCCTAACGTACAACAAATTTGAAGTATTATTCGCCCAGCACTGGTGTTCTCTGGAAGTGCTTTTGTAACCAAAAACTTAAAAGTAACCTTCCCAGAACGTTGCCGTGAGGTTTTATTTATTTTTTTGGTGAGAACCTTAGGGGAACCTATAACCTATATAGACTACAGAACCTTCCCTACAGGTCATTTTTACCCATTCTTTTTTTTTTTTTTTAAAGTAAACTCATTTTCCATAACCATGATGAACTACGCTTTGCAGAAATACATGACTAATGTAATACAGCATGCTAGAAAAAAAACATGAATCGGGTCAGTGTAAAACATCGTATGATCTCACGGGCAGTCATATATTCGTGACTGAGATTAGAATCTGCTCTGCACAGAAACAATCAATTAAAGCGTCTGGATCCACAGATAATAAAAATGCGTGCGCTCGCGTCAATTAACCACCAAGTCCACCAATCAGATGCGCCGTTAGGGCGCCATCACGTCGTGCCCAATGCAAACTGATTGATTTACGCAAAGTATCCAGATTGGCATCTCCAGTGTAAGACGCGAGTGGTGCACATTGATGAAGTGGATGGGTGTCCAATAGATGCATCTCGCTCGAAATGCTCTGCGAACAATTGGATTAAATAAAAGATCTTATGCTGACCGAGATAACTTCATAAGAGTGTATATTTGATGTTCTTACACAAAGGGATCTTTTCTGTAAGAGATGGCTATTAACACGGACGCCCCTCACGCGACAGATGCCCTGTGCGAGAGAGCCGCGCTGCAGTCCACCGATTTTGGAGATAGACCTACTCAGAAACTTCTCGACATCTCAGACAAAGAGCTGAAAAGAGAATTGAACCACTCGCCTTCTGATACACACCTCGTGAAGTGTCTCGAAGCGGAACGGAAGGAACAGACTATGGATAACGTTGCCCCGGAGCCCCACTCTCCGTCGCGGGTCAGTTTCAGCCGCTCGTCGTCGCCCACGCCCGGGGAACGCGAGCCCTGCAGCTTCATGTGGGTGGCCGTGATCTCCTGCTTCTGCCCGGCCGTTCCAATAAACCTGTTTGCGCTTTATTTCGCTAATATGGTGAGTAGAGTTAAACTTATTACTTTTAGAATGAAGCTTAGTTACTTTTAGAGTTCACATTTAGTGATCATTTAGAAAGCAGATCAAACAAAGTAAAAAGAAACCCTTCTTGTTTTTGTTTAGGGGGCCCCTAATAGTTAATAATGTGACTCATGGGGCCACCATATGTATTTACAAGACTTACTTATCCATGATTTTCTTTCTGTTCTTCTTCAGTCTCGGTCCATGATACAAGCAAAAGATTATGATGGGGGCAGAAGACTTGGGCGTCTAGCTTTGTTGCTTAGTATCGTTTCCATTGTTGTGGGTCTGGCTATAGTCCTTTATCTGTTGATGACAGGTAAACCATCTCTCTGTCTCTACACACACACACACAGACAGGGGAGTAGATATTGGGGACATGTCCCACCCAACTCAACTTTGAAAATATGAAATCGGTATTATACAAATGCAACCACTATTTTTAATTCTACTTTTATAAAAAACAATCCTAAAAATACAACTATTATTATGCTGTTTGTTGTCTGCAATTGAGTTGAAGTAAGATCATACACGTAAATGTCTCTCTCATTTCCTTTTCTCTCTCCCAGAGTATAAATAGTTGGAAATCCTAGAAAATTGTGAGCATTGATGTAAACGGGTAATGAGCTGAAACCAAAGAAGATGGATGATGAATGCCACGTGAAAACCTTCACACACAAAAAAACAGCTAGACTATCAGTTTATACCATGCACAATGTTAAATTTGTTTCATTCATTCATTTTTTTGTTGTTGTTGTTGAAAAATTGTTTCTAAACCATCTTGATGCCTTCCTTCCTGATGCCTTAATTTTGCACTTAATCGAAATGACTGTCTTTTTAAAATTATGATCTACATGAAATATTACTATCAACTGTTCAAAGAAAAAACATTCCTATGCCAAGTGAAATCTATGAATTTGTCTATATTACAGTACAAGTGCATTATATTATGCTAATGAATCGCCTGTTGCAATAACAAGAATGTGACTTCTGTTCTGTTCTGAGAATGAGAATTTGTTGTTATTATTATTATTTATTTTTCTTGCAGTGGAGCTGGTGCGGTCAAAAGCACATAGTTGGTATAATTTTTTGTATGATTGTAAAATATGTTGCATTTTGTGTAATCTATCATAGCTTAAAGAGTTAATTTAACCAAAATATGAACATTCTGGCATCATTTACTCACCATCATGTCATTCCAAATCTGTATGACTGACTTTGTTCTGTAGAACACAAAAGAAGATATATAGAAAATAGCATGAGGTCAAATGGGTTCAAATATCTCTCTTTTGTGTGTGTGTGTGTGTGTGTCCCAGACAAGAAGAAAATCATACAGATTTGGAACGACACGAGGGTGATTTGTTTGGGTAATACACTTATGTTTTTACATTTCTTCTTCGAAAAGTATTTTTATTCCTTGTCATTTTGATTCATAGTCTTCTGGAAGTGTGGAGCATCACAAGGATGCAAGGTGGAGGAGTGCAGTGTGAGACGGGCCGCATCCTCGGTGTAGCAAAAATATTGTATTGAATACATGTATTGAACTCGTAAGAGATGAACAAGGGCTATATTCAACCAAAAGAGGGCAATGCATGTCTAAAAAGAAATGTACAATATTATATTTGAATTGTGCAGATTTGTCTTTTACTAATATGGTGCCATATTTTTGCATGTTAGAAATTAAACCAAACCTACCCAATAGTTTAAGTGTGTTTTTTGCAGATTGTTTGGAAGAGTTCCATTTGGACAGGAAGTATATATTTACTTATGAATGTTAGACTGAAGAAAAAAGTGCTACTGTGCATCCTGTACCATCAGCCATCCAGCCTCCTGAGCAAGGGAGATCAGAGGAAGCACATCTGGTAATTGATATCCTGCACATAAATGTATTCCTTTCATATTTACATTTAGTCCTGATGTGCCTCAATTGGAGGTTATGCTTAAGCTATTCCTGCAGCATAGTGTAATTTGGTGTCTATATATATTAACTAAAGCCGAAGAAACCATTGCTTGTGAAAAATGTTAACTTTTAGTGTTATTTTTAGTTTTAGTAGTGCTTCAGACATAATCAATGGGTCTTTTGAGGTTATTCATATTTTTGACATGGATACAGGACATCCACCGCATAAAGACATTTGTAGCAAGCATCCATTTTCCAAACCCGCAAACTTTTGTATTCTTCCTGTTCATAAATGATCTAAACCTCCGCTAATGGCTGCGTGGTCAGCCGGGGATAGTTAGAACGATAAAAGCTTTGACCATGCTGTAAATGGGTTTGATGCAGAGGCCATATCACAAAGCATATACACTTTATATTACAACATTGTACAATATGTCATAATATATTGCTTTCGTCTCACTACTTTAATCAGAATGGATGTGTGAACGTTAACGTAACATTTGATGTGCAATATTGTTGCCATCTGACAATCATTTTTCATTGCACATTTGCAATAATATAAGAATTTGCATAATAATAATAATAGCAATAATTTAAGAATTATATTGTATAAAATATATATTTTTTATATTTTAAAATATATCTAAAAAGTTATTATACTGTCTCACACAAAATTGTCTCAATAATATAATATTTGATGTGCAATGTATATCCATCTTATAATAATCATTAATAAAATGTGTAAGATAATAAATATCCATATATAGTTTAGTTATATATAGCCTATAATATAGTTATAATTTATTGAATTTATATATATATATATATATATATATTTCAATAAATTATAACTATTATATATAATAGCTATATTATTAATGATCCCCCAATAGAGGACCTTATAGAGCAGTGGAGCAAGCAGTGAATGTACTTTTTGATTTTACTTAGAAAGGTTAACTTTTTTGTCTTGTACTCCCAAAACCCCCTTGACTAGAAATGTGCTCCTACTAATTCATATTATTTAGCATTAATATTCAAACTAATATAAAATATATATATATATATATATATATATAAAAATCATTCAAATAAAGTTATAATATCTTAATATAATCTCAAAACACTTTCAAAATGATGTCCTAATATTTATATCGTAACATTTATGACAATCCTAACTATTTTATGCTTTGGGAAATAATGAATTTGAATGAATATGTACGATCTGTTCACTGAGGGTGAAGTTTAGGGGTGGGGTTTATTTATTTATTCAAATCGTACAAATTCACACAAAATCACCAATTCATAAAATAATTAGGTTTTCTCATGAAATGTAATCTTCTCAATCTTTTTGACGTAAATCAGAATCAGAATGAGCTTTATTGCCAGGTATGTTTACACATACGAGGAATTTGTTTTAGTGACAGAAGCTTCCACAGTGTAACAGAATGACACTGACAGTACAAAAAAAACACAGATAATAAAAAGAATAATATAAAAATAGACAAAATAGACAATATATAATATAGACCATTTTGTATGTACAGGTATGATATGTGCAAATTTGAAATGTAAATAAGTATGTGTGTTAAATAAATAATGTATACTAGTGTTGTGTGTTCCACAGTTATTGTCAAGTGTTCATGAGATGTATTGCCTGAGGAAAGAAACTGTTCCTGTGGCTGCTCGTTCTGGAGCTCAGAGCTCTGTAGCGTCGACCAGATGGCAACAGTTCAAAGAGGGAGTGTGCTGGATGTGAGGGGTCCAGAGTGATTCTGCCAGCCCTTTTGCTCACTCTGGATGAGTACAGTTCTTGGAGAGAAGGGAGGGTTGTACCAATGATTCGCTCAGCAGTCCGGACTACCCTCTGTAGTCTTCTGAGGTCAGATTTGGTAGCTGAGCTGAACCAGACAGTTATTGAAGTGCAGAGGATGGATTCAGTGAGGCTGGAGTATAACTGTTTCAGCAGCTCCTGTGGCAGGTTGAACTTCCTCAGCTGGCGAAGGAAGTACAACATCTGCTGGGCCTTTTTGACAATGGACTCAATGTGCTTGTCCCACTTCAGGTCCTGAGAGATAGTGGTGCCCAGGAACCTGAATGACTCCACTGCGGTCACAGAACTGTTCATGATGGTGAGTGGGGGGAGTGCAGGGGGGTTCCTCCTGAAGTCCACTATCATCTCCACAGTTTTGAGTAGAGCCACAGGTCTGTAGTCATTAAGTCCAGTAATTTTGGGTTTCTTTGGGACGGGGATGATGGTGGAGCTTTTGAAGCATGAGGGGACTTCGCACAGCCTGTCTGAAATCCTGTGCTGACCAGCTGGCCCCCATCTTCACACTGATGGGGGCCAGCTGGTCAGCACAGGATTTCAGACAGGCTGGTGTAACACCTTCTGGGCCTGGTGACTTTCTTCTCTTGTTCTTTCTGAAGACCTGACTCGCGTCATCTTCACTGATCTGGAATGCTGAATGGTGTTTTTTCAAACCTGCAATAAAACTCGTTCAGATCGTCTGCCAGTTGTTGATTCTCCACAGTGCTGGGGGATGGTGTCTTGTAATTGGTGATGTCTTTCAGACCTTTCCACACTGAAGCAGGATCACTGGAAAATAATTGGTTCTTTAGCTTTCCAGTGTAATTCCTCTAAATAGCAACAAAATAAAGTTTAAGATCATTCACAGTCTAGAGATCATAATGTCATCCATCAGAATTCTTTCCCCTTCAAACTTCTTTATTATCTTCTTATCTTATATTTGAACCAAGCTTTTGCCCTATGGGGAATGTGTTTAGGCAGATCGTGGCATGCTCAAATTAAGTTTAGAAAATCTGTAGCACTTAGTCTATCTTATTCTCTTGCAGAAAGGCCCAGTTAGTCCAGCAGGAGGAGTAATGTACGCTTGTGAGCTTCACTTACATATAAACAGAGAGAGGATTTCTCAGCTCACATATCCTGTGAGCACAGCATGAAAGCTGGCAGGATTTAATAACAACAGAAATGTGTTTTATGGAGCCAATGCAACCCGAAGAGCCAATAAAGGCATGAGAGAAAGAGTTATGCAATGTTTAAATGAGCTGAAACGAGGTTTAACGTCACTGCTGCAGTGGAGAGTTGTCTCTGATCATTTTCCTGCGAGTGTTGTTAAATAGAGAAACAGATAGAAGATGTTGAGGGAAACCACAGCTGTTAGGCCAATTCCAGGAAACTTCTAATGGACTTTCCCACTCAGAACCCCCTATGTTGGCATCATGGCAGTGAACCAGACTGTAGCGAGCATGACATTACTCCATCTATGAAAGGCCATCAATGAAAAGGGCATTGTCTGAAACATACTCTAGTTTATTGGTATAGATGTAGAAGAGAGGGGCTTGAAAGTACTTGGAAAATTACAAAAATAATGAAATAATAAATTATGTAAAGCAAATGGATGCTTCAGGTTTGTTTGTTGTTCCTTTGTAAATTTTTAAGTGTGAAATGTGATTTAAAAAATCATGGATATTTCAATTAATATGACAATGGGATTAAATCATTTACTCTCATGTTGTTCTAAACCTTTAGGATTTTTTTTCTTCCATGAAAATTTGATATTTTGCAGCATGTCATTACTACTCATATATATATATATATATATATATATATATAGAATGATAGTGAATGGTGACCATGACAATCCCTGATCCCCATTCACTTTTAAAGGGATAATTCACCCAAAAATGAAAATTTGCTGTTAATTTACTCACCCTTGGGCCATCTATGACTTTCTTTCTTCAGTAGAACAGGAAAGATGATTTTCAGCTGAAACCATGGTGATTCATAAAATACAAGTCAAAGATTATGTCGAGAGTAAAACTTTTTATATATATATATACATATATCCTCCTGAGACCCAGCTATGGAGTTTTTGCCTCTGTAGTGGACATTATATTTGAGTGAATTTCTCTGAGACCTCACATGTGTTGTGTGATCCACAGTTATTGTCAAGTGTTCATGAGATGGATGGCGTGAGTAGAGGTCTGCTACCCGACCCGAGCCCGACGAGTCCCGAAATACTTTCGGGTTTCGGGTCGGGTTCGGGTTAATGTTTAATGAATAGCTTCGGGTTCAGGTCGGGCTCGGGCTTATAGCTAAACTAAAACTATATGTAGTAGCCTTGGCTAAGCTGCTTTCGTAGACGCACGCACCCACATTAGTGCACACGACAACGACAACACAGCACGGAAACTTTTATTAGTAAAATAGCTTCGACAGGCTACTGACTCGCAACTTTATATTTCTCTGCAATGAGGGGGTAGAATCATTGTTTTTGAAGTAACTAAGCCTCATTGCTTGTAGAGAGAGGCGCGCAGACGCAGGTTCACACATGCAACTTTCATCCCTCCCTCTCTCGCTAATTCAAATAAATATAATTAATTCAAATAAATGCGATCTTACCGCACTGTATCTCTGTGTCTGATTTAAAGCAGGCCGAATGCTAACGAGACTTAACTGACAAAAATGACCATAATTTGCAAGATGGAAGAATTATCGTCTTGTCTCTGTAGCGTCGACCAGATGGCAGCAGTTCAAAGAGTGAGTGTGCTGGATGTGAGGGGTCCAGAGTGATTTTGCCAGCCCTTTTGCTCACTCTGGATGAGTACAGTTCTTGGAGAGAAGGGAGGGTTGTACCAGTGATTCGCTCAGCTGTCCGGACTATCCTCTGTAGTCTTCTGAGGTCAGATTTGGTAGCTGAGCTGAACCAGACAGTTATTGAAGTGCAGAGGACAGATTCAATTATGGCAGAGTAGAGTAGAGTTGTTT